ACACTTCAGTCTGTCACCGCACATGTACTTCATACAGTACAGATCGTCTCAAAGCAGCCTCACAGAAATTCTGTTCTAAAAATGGTAAAGCGCTGTTGCCATGAAGTTATAAAGCAGATGCAGTACAATCAAGTCTGGTGTCCGCTTCATGCTGGATCTTGTTCTGGTCAAGAACTGCACCGGGGAAATATTGCTTATGATTTCTGCTGTTTGAATCCGCACAGAAACTGATGCAACTAAAGCTCAGGAGGACACAGTGCTGATCATCCACACACACACACACATTCAGAAGACGCTGCTCCTTCTAAAACACCTCTAACTAGTTCATCTTTAACTTCTCTAATGAAGTGTGTTACCTCTTGCTATTGAACCGTGTTACTTTAATTAAAAAGTTACAGTTTAACAAATTAAGCAAGCCAAGCATGAGGTATTTGATCCCAGAATGACCTTCGGTTGGGAATTACACTGAAACTCACGACGTTTGATTGCTATTAGTGACGACTACGCAAATGTTGGCATCATAATCACCCGACAGCAGCGGCACACAGATCAGAACGCCCTCTCATATTATCTCTATAATATTATAATACACATATCTGCATTACAGCAGGTTGTGCACTTCTATCATGTTAAATAGTGTGTTCTGGTTTCAATCTGGTCTGCATTCAAACGCTGCTAAACCACAGAACGAAGGATTCACTTTACATTAATGCATTATGAGACTTCCGGGGATCTTCTTCTGGTGCGAGACGTTACCTGCTCGCTCGCGTCAAAGGAAGACAGAGAGAATAAAGCCGTCGCTGGCAGCAGCTCCTGCTCGGAATGAAGAGACCAGAGAAAACACGAGGAGGCCGTCTGTCTGTCTGTCTGTCTGTCTGTCTGTCTGTCTGGCCCGTGACCTGATTACAGGAGCCTGCACCGGTTTACTCTTTCTCCAGCTTTTTAATCGTGTGATGTCATCAAACACAGCTCCTCCTGAACCCATACAACAATCAACACGTCTCAATAACCGTGATCAGATTCACACGCTACTGTCAGACTCCACACACTACAGCAGAGATCAAATATACACTCACTCTGAGGATTTTCACATGCGAGCGTAATAGTGCAGTGATGAAGATGGAAATAGATAACTACTATTGGTTAACATGCAGTGCAACGGAGCGCTCTTTAAAAGGGAATCTCGACTGTAGTTCAGCTAGCGTTAGTTATGAGCAGTCTGTGTGTAAGCGGAGTTGAGGAGCGCTGCGAGACGTGAGGAGAGCATCATCATCATCATCATCATCCTCCATCTGCCTCACAGACAAACACAGCTGCAGCACTTCCTCCAAAACACTTCCTGCGCAACAGGACCAGTGCCACACAGGAAAGCAGCTTTCCCCCTCCGCGTCTTACTATTCCTGAGCGACACTGCCAGCGACGGCGTTCAGAAGTGCTTCGGTCGTCAGGGATGACGCGGAATGAAAGACGGAAGCACCGTGAGATCACAGTCCTGAGGTCAAAGGGCAGATGTTAACATCAGATGCTGCTAATGGTCAGTGACCTTTGACCTGGATTTCAAAGGTGAAGATGAGCTACTGTAAATAACACGCACACGATCATGAGACATTACACTGAACACCACATGACAAATAAACCAACGCCGAGCGATGGTTTACATTTTTAAGTCAAGTCACTCATTTCTATAGCACTTTATACAATACAGACAGTTTCGGAGCAGGTTTACAAAAATAAACAGGAAAACGATACAAACAGATATCAATTCTGCGGTTTTTAAATTCAAGATAGCACCATTCTGGCTACATTTGTGGCAAAATACAAGTAAAAAAAATTGAAATTAAATAAACTAATCTGGTCTCACTTGATTAAAAATCTTCTTTACTTCTGCTCTGAGTGCATTACTGCAAGACAGCTGAAGCTTATCGGTGATGCATAGGAAAAAGATGGATATCAATTACAGAACTTGAGAAAATAAGAACTGTAAGCCGGGGAAATGAGCAACACTGCAGACTTTGAGCAGAGTAAACCGAGCGCAGCAGCAGTGAAGTCTACTGTGAGCTCTCCGTCAAACCCACGAAACAGCAAACTCTCTGCCATCAGCACAGAAATAACCCGAGCCTGACATGAGATAACGTGAATTACTGAGCTGCTCGATGACAGCCCGAGACTTACAGAAGAGAGCACGAGAAACCTTCAGAAGACACACACACACATCCAGCGGAGCGCTTCTTTATGTACATTAATAATGCTCTTAAAGTTAAGAACATTTGTCCAAAGTGACCTGTAATAAAGTTCTCAAAGCACAAAAACATCATTCCCGGAGTGTTTTTTCAGAAATGCAACATTCTCTTTATGTTTGGGAAATTATGAAACAGAGTTGCATTAACATTCACATAACCAACAAAAAATGTTTTTAAAACCTGGATGCGTTGAACTTGAGGAGCATTTACACTTCCAACTACTGCTTCTTTGTGGTTTTGCACGGTTTTAAATGCAGGCAGCAACGCAGCAAATGCTTTAGCAATATTTGGTAATGAATGTAAAAATATTTACCATGCCAATAAAGCAATGCATTTAGAAAATAGATCATGGATTTACATTTCATGGCCAAACCCATCAGACTGAGTCTAATGCATATGAGAGTGAAGCGTGTGGTTTTACACACACACACACACACACACACACTCCTGCTGCTCAGCCAGATCTCACTACAGTCTGATTATGCAATGGCACGGCCGGCTGCTTCTTCCCTGCCTCCTCTGTCTTCAAATGATCCACGCTGTGAGTTTCAATCAGAGAGTCACAGGAGCACCTGGTCTCACGCAGGCAGGAGGGAAGCGTCACATGTGAGCCACAAATATGAACTTCACAACCTCAAGAACAGCGAGATTACATTACAATAATACAAAACTGCTCCCATTGCGCTCAACATCGGTCTATATCAACGAGAGAGAGAACGCCGGACAGGAGCGCGGTCTGTGATGCAGTGTTTGCGGTGGCAGACTGCAGCATATATTCTGATGAGCAGAGAAAAAGCAATGCATTTAGAAAATAGATCATGGATTTACATTTCATGGCCAAACCCATCAGACTGAGTCTAATGCATATGAGAGTGAAGCGTGTGGTTTTACACACACACACACACACACACACACTCCTGCTGCTCAGCCAGATCTCACTACAGTCTGATTATGCAATGGCACGGCCGGCTGCTTCTTCCCTGCCTCCTCTGTCTTCAAATGATCCACGCTGTGAGTTTCAATCAGAGAGTCACAGGAGCACCTGGTCTCACGCAGGCAGGAGGGAAGCGTCACATGTGAGCCACAAATATGAACTTCACAACCTCAAGAACAGCGAGATTACATTACAATAAAACAACACTGCTCCCATTGCGCTCAACATCGGTCTATATCAACGAGAGAGAGAACGCCGGACAGGAGCGCGGTCTGTGATGCAGTGTTTGCTGTGGCAGACTGCAGCATATATTCTGATGAGCAGAGAAACAGCTGCTCTTATGAACTCTAATTTGTCACAAACTCAAAACACATTCATTTCCTCTGAGCACTGAAGATCCAGTGAGAGGTTATTCTAATACTCAAGCTCTTCAAAAACTGAAACGCGATTTGCTTTCAATAAACTCCAGTTTCACTCTCTCACACTCACACACACACACACACACACACACACACACACACAGTCTGATCATAACAGAATCTAATGTAATAAAGCAGTGATGCAGTACATGAAATCATTTTAATCTAAACCCTTCTACAATTATATCGTTCAGGATCCATGACAATGCTTTTTTACAGGAGGATAATCAAAGGAAGAGGTTTTATACAGCAGGTCTCTACAGTATGAGCTGAACACAGCATGCAGTAATGAGTGTGTTCATCATGCTGATCGACCAGAAACAACATGGAGCCAAAAGACTCGATTTACTTTCCTTTCTAAGCTCTAAACCAGCAAGCAGGTTTGCTCATGGAGTCGGTCTATATTCACCACTGCATTTGATTGCCTGTTTTTTTTTTATTACTGTGCAATTTTCCATTGCATCGCCTTCATGCTCGTGTGTGTGTGTGTGTGAGTGAGAGAGAGAGAGTGTGTGTGTGTGTGTGTGTGAGAGAGAGAGAGAGAGAGAGAGTGTGTGTGAGAGTGTGTGTGTGAGAGAGAGAGAGAGAGAGAGAGTGTGTGTGAGAGTGTGTGTGTGAGAGAGAGAGAGAGAGAGAGAGTGTGTGTGAGAGTGTGTGTGTGAGAGAGAGAGAGAGAGAGAGAGTGTGTGTGAGAGTGTGTGTGTGAGAGAGAGAGAGAGAGAGAGAGTGTGTGTGAGAGTGTGTGTGTGAGAGAGAGAGAGAGAGAGAGAGTGTGTGTGAGAGTGTGTGTGTGAGAGAGAGAGAGAGAGAGAGAGTGTGTGTGAGAGTGTGTGTGTGAGAGAGAGAGAGAGAGAGAGAGTGTGTGTGAGAGTGTGTGTGTGAGAGAGAGAGAGAGAGAGAGAGTGTGTGTGAGAGTGTGTGTGTGAGAGAGAGAGAGAGAGAGAGAGTGTGTGTGAGAGTGTGTGTGTGAGAGAGAGAGAGAGAGAGAGAGTGTGTGTGAGAGTGTGTGTGTGAGAGAGAGAGAGAGAGAGAGAGAGAGAGTGTGTGTGTGTGTGTGTGTGAGAGTGAGTGTGTGTGTGTGTGTGAGAGAGAGAGTGAGAGTGTGTGTGAGTGTGTGTACTCTCTCTGCTCTGGAAGCTCCAGTCATCACAAACACAGTAAAAGCAGTGGATCACCGCGAGGCACATGTGATGATGTGATTCTTCTGAGGCTCAATCACATCTGATCACTGATATCTGATCGATATGAATCTGCTTTCAGGAGACACGAAGCTGTACACACACTGTCTGAGTATATGCTGGAGAAATCATGCATTCAGCGGCTGTACGGGGCATAACTCCTGACACACCTGACCTCCAGCGCTTTCGCTTTCCAGCCGCGAGCCCGGGGACTCCGCCACAGCCTTAC